CACACACACACACACACACACACACAAAGCAGCACTAAAGCGGAGCATTTGCAGTTTTAAAATATTTTGCGACACTGACTCTGAGACCTCTACCTGAAGTGCAGTCCTTCTATTAATCCAGCAGCTCAGCCAGACTTGAGATCATTGGTCCTAGAGGCACGTAATCACAGCTAAAACAGTTTAAAACATAACAGTACAGATTAATTCGTTTTAAAAATGAAAACAAATAATTCAGTATAAAGGGCAGGATAGCTTCAATACAGTGTCTGTACTGAAAATCTGTCAAATCATAAAACAGATCTTAACTTTTAATTAGTTGCTATTTCCTTCTCTATTCAAATAAACTCTGTCATTTTAATTCACAAAAACAAACTTCAGCTAAGCCAGTAGCCAGTAAAAATCACCCGAGTCAAAGCAGCTGCCAGAAGCTGCAGTTGAAGGAAAGATGAATATCAAACCTGGGATCAATACTCTGAACAAATACTTGTTTTCCGATCTTTTTAAATGTGAAAAAATATATTGATTTTACCACAGGAGACGCGAAGAAGTGAATCTCAGGCCCTTTTCACAAATTGGACATTCCAATCAATTTGAACTTCTCTGAACTGAAGATGGCATAAGGTATGCTTTCACCCGTCTGATTGTGGGTTGGCTTGTTTGTAAACAAGGTTTGACAAAAACTACAGGACGAATTACCACGAGTGGAAGAAGGAAGGGATGGTAAAGGACAGGGAAGAACCCAACAGACTTTGATGCAGATCCTGATCAGGGGACAGATCCAGGAATTTTATTTTACATTGTGATATTTTTAATATGTGAAATTTGGTGCATTTTGACTGAACCTAAGGTTAAGCCTTGGTGGAGGAATGTCTCTACTGAGTCCCATCCTAGTTGTTTTCATTGATTTGTCGGTTGCAAGATAAAGGTGTTCTTCAACAGCAAATTGCTCGAGAAATAATGCAGCCATCTGTAGAATCCTGATATCTATGAACAGGTGAAATTTGGTGCAGATCCAGGTTCCAAGGAACCGAATGCCATGACATTATGTGGAAAGGTGGAACATGGCCCAAGGAAGAGCAGAAAACTGCCATGCCATGGAAGGAATTATTATGTTTCATTACAGTTGCTTCATTTTTGTGTAAAAATGGCCATAACCTTTGTTCCAACAGGATGATGTTAACTCTTCATGTGTGAAAAGGGCTTGGAGAAATCAATCATCTGAGAATCAACAGTGGCCACGTTCCTTTTAAACTCATATGACACAAGTGATTACTTGATGTGTTAAAGCCTGTTGAGATCAAAACAGCTGTTTGCAGCGAGTATCGTCACCCAGGTCTGAGAGGACTGGAACGGAAAGAGAGGTGGTCGGTGACTACAATCAAGGTCGTGTTGTGCTCTTCCTCTGAGTTCCCTCTGTTACCAGCACTAGGGCCCTCCTCCCTCGTCTTCTTGTTCCTCCATGTTTTTGCGTGCCATCCTCTCTCTCCGCTCTGCCAGCCGCAGACATCGGGGGCAGTCTTTACCCGCCCGGAAGCAGTTTCGATGGTAACACGCACGACACTCTGGAAAGAGGAGGAACATCACAAAAACAGGAGTTAGTGACGGAGCAGTATTAAGGATTTGTGTGTCACCTTAACAGAGAGATTTTCACAAAGAGCGGCTCGTGTTACTAAAACAAACAATTCTGTGTTCACAGAAATCAAGCAAGTTAAACCAGTTTGACGACACCTAACACAGCAGCCAATCACGATCAGACCTGAGGGAGGAAAGGCGAGTTGGGGAGTATAAAAGGCACAGAAGTGAAAAGCAGCGAGACAGAAGGCAGGCGGGAGCAGGACATATACTAGGACACACACACACACACTCCACCCTAAACCTGTTCGAACACCTTTAGTGCGTCACAACTTTCTCAAAAAACCTCCCAACTTATGTGCTACAGCACAAACGTATTTGCCTGTAATCCCCGTCAGAAATGATCTTGTTGCCGTTTCTAAAACTAATGAAAATAATGAAGAGTGGATGAAATGAGAAGCCATTCAAATTCAAAAATAGTGTTTATTTCAGGTTCACATGAAAATGGAACTTAAATAATAGCAGGCAGATCTAAAGGCAACTAAAAAGAATAAATAACACATTAAATCTGACGCATGTCGCGTCGCTAAATTAAGAATCTTCCTTCAACAAAAATATAAACGAAAATCAAATAAAAAACAATGATAGCCGAGGCAGCAAAACAAAAGGCATGTTTCCTCTACATTTAAATATAAAACTACCTCTGAATGAACCAATCAGAGAAAACAGCTCAAGTACTGTTCGTTTGGACTAAAAACATGAGCAACAGACTAGTGTCACAAAAGTCCAAACTGAAATGTATGACTAAAGCAAAGTGAAATGTAAACGATTATAAGAGGAAACATCACTGTGGTATAATTTTCCCTAGCACGAGAAATGATCTTGATATTTAGCAGCAACCCATCTCTGACAGAGGAAGTGAAAAAGACAAAAACAGAACAGAGCTCAGAGCCACAGAAGTAAAACTAAACCAGCAATGCATCACCAGCATCTCCAGAATCAAAACCAAAAGATATCCAACACCAAATAGCTGCTAAAGAATATCTTCCCTCCACCAAGAGACACCAACAGAACCAGAGCCGGTAACAAAGCAACAAACAGGAGCAGTGAGAAATGTCTCCAACCAACACTGAGGCGAAAGAGTGTGAAGAGATTAAAAGAGAGAGGGAGCGAGGGTGAAATAAAGATGAAGGATTGCACAATAATCTGAACTAATGTGTGTATTTGCTTTCTCTCCAAGGATGAGATGAGAAGATTGATACCACCCTGATCTGTTTTTTGGGGGTTTACAGACTAAGCACATTTAATTGAATCTCAAAGTTATCAATAGGCAGTTATTGTTGGGACCAGCTGCTGGTTCTATTTGTTTCCATTGTCATTATCATAGACTGTATATTAAGATGGACGACATGAAGACTCCTCGAAAGTGAAACCACAGGTTCTTGATTGCTCAAGTGTTTTTCCGGTAAGTTTACCCCGGCTCACTCCCCGATCACTACTGTGCAAACCCTGGCTCCAAATGTGCGAGATGACAGGGTCAGTATTTTTTGGCATCATTTCTGTACAGTGGGAGGAAGTGGAGTTGCGTCGTCTTTCTTTACATACAGTCAATAGTAAGATAAGCTAATCAGCTGCTGAGATATGCGAGTGGTATCAATGTTTGCTGCTTGATTTCTAAATTATATTTGTCAATATATGGTAAACATTGCTGTCAGGATGATGTTTTTGTAATTGTGCAGACAAGACAGTATTAAAAATGTACAGACGATGAAAAGTACAAAAAAACCATGTAAACAAGATGAAGGAGTTAGTAAAAAAACCTTAACTAACTAAAGAGTTTTGCTGAATACGTTCAGATGAGGAGAAATGATCCTAAAGAAAACTGTTACCAATCATGACTGAATAACTCTTCAGCTATGTAGTGAAACTGTTTACAGATCTTATTCTTCGTACCATGAATATACCTCATTTTTATTTCTCTTACTCTTGTCCTCCGCCTCTCTCAGTACATTCATCTGTGTCATTTAGCTCTGTGCTCTCTCCACCCTCCGCCTTGCTCTCCTCTTCTGTTCCCTCCCTCTTCTTCCTGCCTCTGGTTACTCTCCTCGCTTTACGAGTTTTGCGACCTCTCCAGGTAGTCTGGGTGATGGTCGACTGTTTTTGGTCTTCCTCTGTTTCTACCTCTCTTTTTTCATCACTTTTATCCTCCTGTCTGTTTTTCCCTCTGAAGAAAACAGAGGGTTTTAGCAGTTTTGTGATTGTAAATTTCTCCTTTTTTTCTGTACCAACTCTTTCTATTTCACCTTTGTCCTGCTTTTCATCACCCTCGTCAGTCTCTCTCTTGCTTTTCCCCTTCTCCTCGGTTCCTGCTAGTTTCCCCAAACCTCGATTTTCAGACTCTTCACCTTTAATTTCTGTTTTCCCTTCACACTCTGTCTCTCTTTTGGAGAAAACCTTGGGTAGACTGAAAAGCCCTGATAGCTTCCGATGTCCTTTCGTCTCTTGACCTACTTCATCTAGACTCTCTACACTGCTGTATGTCTCACTGTCACTTTCTCCTTTTGAGATTCTCTTCTTTAGTCTGTCTAGTTGAAGAACTTTCAATAAATTAACTTTTTCCCTTCTTACTTTCCCATCTCTCCCTTCCGTAGCATTTACTGTGTCTTTGCTGTACTCCTCCCCTTGTTTAATTCCTATCTGCTCTCCCTCTTCTTCCTCCTCTGACGTCCCTCCCATCATCTCCTGCTCCTCTCCATCTCCTTTGCTCCTAGAGAAAATATTAGCCAGCTTTACTCTCTCCTGCCTCTCTTCAACCATGTCCCTTGAGACTTCCCTTGTCTTTTCCCTCTCTCCCCTCTTCTCACCCCTATGCACTTCCGAGTCTAAACCCTCCTCCCCTCCCTCCCCCTCTCTCCGGTCTCGAGAAAGGGCCTTTGCCAGCCTACGGGGGTTGGAGATCTTCCAGTCTCTCCAGGTAAGCGGATTGAAGGGGTTGCGGGGGGTGGGGGCTCTCAAGCCGCCCAGGCCTGCCACCAGCAGAGAGGGCTCACCTTCGCAGCGCTGGCACTTGTTCAGCTGGAAGGGGAAGATGATGTCTTTGTCGTTGCCGCAGAACTCGCACACAAAACCCTTCGCCTGGCAAAGCTGGGGAGGATGGGAGGACGGGGGACAGAAACATCAAACATGGTTTAGAAACATCTGGTTGTTTGCTGACTTCATAAAGTTGAGTAACACTGAATTATGTAACTGATCTATCAATTTTAATCACTGTGACAAATCACCATGGTACAATTAAAGGGCACAGAAGAAGCAGATGCTCATCTTACCACACAACCATCGACGTGCACGGTACCAAGTTTAATCAGCTCTTTCATCCGGGGGGCCAGTTCTCCGTTGCGCACAGCACTGAGGTCATTGAGAGAGAACAGGTGAAGGTCCTCGGTCAGGTGACCTGGCAGGCTGTCAAACTGGTCCAGCACCCTAAGAGGAAGGACACACACACACACACTGAGTTTAAGATGCCTGTCTGAACAGAGAGCATCATTTTGTGGAATTAAAAAATTATTGTGAAACTCAAAAACATGCAGCAACGAATGATCTTACCCTTTAGCAAAGCGACAGGTCTTGAAGAGATTTTTCATGTGAAACAGCTGCACCCTCAAAACCTAAATTTAAAAAAACAACACACAGTCATGAATTGCTTACAGACATGCACTGAACTCCAAACAAACCCCTGAGATTATCCGGAGGGGCTGTATGTGAGAACACAAATGTGTGAGTCAGTTGCTATGGACATTCTTCTACCAGCCCTCCAGTAAAAGCTCTGAGTGATGAGTAATACTGAGTGAGCACGTGTGTGATTATCCAGGATTCACTGCAAACTGGGCAAACATTACATCTCTCTTCGATTCATTTGCATATACTGTAAGTAAAAGCTACAAATAACTCTTTAATCCATGAATATTATCGTACACTCTACTGAGATGCTCAGAATTCAAAACAGCATTTAATTAGTGCACACCAAATTATATCCCAGGCTCTCTTCAAAAGAAATAGATAGTTGTGGTAGTACATTACAGCTTTGGAAGGTTTGCTCTATCATTAAATTAAATAATAGGCAAGGTAGTGTGTGGTTTAGACAGTTTAGCACCACTGAGCAGCAACTCGGAGGAATTAGTCTTTTTTTAGCTTCCTTTCAATGGCAGCTGTTGACGACCTGAATGGTTCTATTCATTCTGTTTTCACACCCTGATTATTGGACTATTTCGAGCATCAGAATCCGTCACAAGTTATAAGTCATTTCACAATTAAGAGACTTCAAGCTCGGTAAACAAGAGTAATGATTTACCTCCAAAGTTTATATTTATCAGATGATGTGTGAAACATAAATTAATCTGGTTGTTGTGGTTGGATACTGGAAAAAAAACAAACCAAAAACAAAATTTACAACCATCTGGTTAATAACAAATTTTCCATCCGGCTGCAGTACTCACCCGTATAGCCTCCAGATGTTTAACCTTCTTGTAGAGACCGCTGTTGATGTCGTTAGGATTGAACAGCGGGTCTCCAGCAATCTTGCTCAGCAGGTCACGGGCAAAGTTGCTGACGTAGTACTTGCTGAAGTCCCAGCTCCTCAGCACTCGACCGGGAACCACCGCCTGGGCGTTCTCATGGCAGCACTGACAGAAGTAGCGGCCGAGGTACTCACAGTAACGCAGTCGCTTAATATAGTCTGAGGTGGAGAGAGGAAGCAGAAACACAAACGGAGGAGGTGAGTGTCTTCAATAGACACAATGTTTGAGCACAAAAGTAAAAGTATCTCTGCAAAGAATTTCTATACATCAGGTTAAAGTTTAAGCCAGCTCAAGTCCCACAGTTGCACTGTCTGCTTGTAAAATTTCATTATCTGCAAAAATTGAAATTGAAAATGTTAAAAGAAATTCAGTTTTAATGGAACCGTGTTTAAGTGCATGTTAGAACTTAATTTGAGGAACAAGAAAATCCTATTTCGGGATTAAGAAATCGTACCTGGGTCGATGCGGGTGCCACAGCCAGCGCAGCGGTAGTTCTGTTTAGCCACCATTATCTTCTTCCTGACAGAGAAACACATTAGAGTAACATTTTAAGAGTAAGAAAGTGTTCAAACCTTTATTTGAGAGAATTTAGGAAGAAAAACATTTTTACAAAAAAAAAAAAACACAATTGACAGTTAGAAGCAGCAAACTTACCAATACATTTTTCAGAGCTCAAAGGGCTTCACATTAGAGCCACTGTGTTTCTCTACAGTTATTACCAGAAGTGTGATGATGATGTGATAATGTGATGAAACCTGCAGTCTCATTATGAAGTTCTGAACAAGAAAAGTGACGTCTCAGTATTTTAAGATCCCGGAGGATCACCTGGACAATTTTGCTGTTATTGCAGCTAATGAGCAAAATAATCCTTTTGATTATTTAACCAGAGCTCTGTTGTTTGTGTCATGACACAGTTGAGGCAACAGCATGTGAAAGGTAGACTAAAGAGACAAGAACAGAAGAAAAACTAATAAAAATGTGTCAAAATTAGCAAAAGAAGGTAACACTGGGTGTAGACTCACTTGTGGGCAGGGTGAATGTTGAAGATGATCTGCGGTCGCGGGGGTGCCCACTCGAGGTTGCCTCGGACTCGAATCCTCAGCTTGTAGATGTCTGCGTGTTCACCATCGTCAGGTGAGATTGGGAGAGAGTCGGGGATGGGCAGCAGCTGGGTGACAGCAAGAAAACGTTGTATGAGATCACAGTTCACTTGTGTTTTGAACTGTCTTACAGACTTCTCTAAATTAATTGGGTTATTGTACATTTATTGTCATACAGTGGAAATATGGTACGTAACCAACCTTCTGTGGAGCGTCGTGTTCTGGGACCAGCCAGTCCAGCTCCGAGGCAGCAGGAAGCTGCATGCCCTCAAATTGCCTGAGCAAACCCATGGCTACTGACTCAGCAGAGTTAGACTGAAGGAAGGATGGAGAACTGAAAACACAGAGATGAGATTCTCTTAGATTAAAAAAAAAACCTGCTGATCCACTGAGACAATGTTAAGTCCCCACTGTGGTGCATGTTCACTGTAAATGGAAGACTTAACTTTACGTTAACTTTTTTAATCGGAGTCTCCTGCAAAGTCCTTTTTAGTTTTTCACTCATTCAATTACCAATTATATATTAATATAAGTATATAAGAGGCAACAAGTGTCTGCATTACTTACATGGACTCTGAGCTGAGAAAAGATCTGCTGCTGGAGCTCACACTGCGCTTTATGTCTGCATCTAAAAGGCAAAACAACAGTAAAGTAACAGATTTGAGCGCCAAGAAGCAGAAACTCGTTTGAAATGTTTTTTATCCACCAGCCACAGAGACTACAAGATTTTCAATAGTTGCATTAAATTCAAATGTTGTGATTTCTAGAGTGAAAAAGATTTGGAGAATAATGGCTGATTCTGTACCAGCAGTTGGCTGGTGGACGGTGTTCAATTCTCACCACTGCTAAAATGGCATCATGTTTTAAAGCTCAGCAACATTAAGTGTTGTTAAGAAGAAATGGCTCATCAGAAAACAGGGAAACAAAAATGTAAGAAAATGTGGGTATTTATCAGGTAGCACACAGGAAAGAGATGTTCTGGTAGAACAGAGATAAAACAGAGCACATGTGAAAGTAAAGCGATTAAGCTGTAGAGGTTTGGTTAGAATCAGAGCAAAGAGCTGGACAAGGAAGTTTGTCAGCAGCAAGAAAATTGTCGATGCATAGACATGAATCATTTCATCCTGAATAGGGAGTGAAGTTAAATAAGTTTCTGGTCTCATTTGTTCTGATGATTGTCATCGGCAGTGTGATGCTATTGTAGAGACACAGGAGGATTTGTATCAGTGTCAGCAGACAGAACGTGTTGATTCACTTTCAGCCATTTAGTGTCCAGAGAAATGAGGTGCAATTGCAGCACAAGTAGAAAGCAGGTTAGATTAGGAGGACTGATTTATCACTGGCAAAAAACAGATTAATTAATTTATATATCTACCCTTCACATTTCTAATGTACAAAATCGGATTGATCTAAATTCAAATCAGATTAGTTGGAACATTCAACATACTGCTGCTTCTCCTGACTATATTTAGAAATCAAGTACGTAAGTGTGTCTGCCCAGATACCTTCACTTTAATTATGTAATGATATTTTATAGACTAACGCTGCTTGCAGACGATAAGATTATCAACTAATTTAAATAAATAATTTGATGTCCAAAGATGTGAATCATCTGCAACTATACTGATAGTAACAACCTCTTTTTCAATACAGTTCTAATAAATTGTAATTTCATATAATGAGGACAAAATACCATCATACATACAAGTTCAGATCTTGATAAATAGTTTTTTAATTATGATTTGGTAACTGGATTAAAATGTAGTTACTTTGATTAAGGGATACAGTTAAGTATAATTGATCTGGGTATTAATTGAGGAATTCCATGTTAAATTCAGCCAAAAATGAACAGAATTGTGTATCACTAAAAGCAGCAACAATTATATAATATACACAACATTACCTCAGCCGAAATCTCAAGATATATTTGAGGTTTTCTACTGTATCACAGTGTGATATTATATTGACATTTTGTCCAACTCTAATCAGATACAGTCATGGTCATGATGAGACAACACAGCCTGTGTGTCTTCAATAAAATCATCACTTTGTTTAAAGCTGTCCCAAAAAAAAACACTGGTCCTGTTTTGACTTCAAACTTTAAAAGTAACAACCAACTAGGTGGAAGATGTGTATGTGACAGCAATCACACCTCATTCTCACTGGGACCACTTTGGACATGATGAATTATTGTATTAATGGATGGATGGATGGATGGATGGATGAACACCCGAGTTATAGTCATCACAAAATGCCACTGGTTTTCTCACTAGTCTCCTCATGAGCCTCTCTAAACTCTAACATGCACAGGCACCACACGACCAAAATCCTGGAGCTCTGAGCAACAAGCACAGACACAAACAGACAAGCGAGAAATCCAGCTGAGGTGAGGAAGCAGCTGGCTCAGCTCCAAACTGAAAACTTGAGTAACAGCATCCTCTGCCCTGCTTTGTTAACTTTTTAATGTGGGATACTGTAGCTGGATCATCGGAAAATAAATATTTTCATCTGAACAAAATATCTTCTTATTGATGGTTGATTTCTGAAAAGTTCGAATTTTAAGTATGTAGTGAGTATGGCGTTAACTTCCAACTGTAAGTACAGTAGCTGCAGAAGAATACATATATTATTACTTCCACCGAGGAGGTTATGTTCTTGCCACTGACCATTTGTTTAGTTTTTCAATAGGATTCTGTGAAACCCCAGAACAGATTTTAACAAAACCTGGTAGAAGGATGAAGCAAATTAGAGGATGAAGGGGAGGATTTTTCACTTGCTTCAACATTATGAGTGAGGGCATTTTTTGACATTTTCACCAGTTTCCCAGTGAATATTTCATGGATCTTGAATCAGGCATATTTAAAGGGATGTTAATTAGGAGTGTGTGAAGTTTGATTTAATTCAAGGGGACTGTTGGGTCTTGGCAGTGCTATGAAGTTTTTCAATTATCCATCACTGACCTGGATTCTTTGGTTCACATTTTTTCCATCATACTGATCATCATCAGCATGAAAACTGTGAAAAATATGTCTTACAGAGTCCTGCTTTTCCTGAACAGTTCGCTAACAACTGTATTTGCAAATATCAAATGTTAAAGCTGGCAGGAAATTATTTATTAAAAATGTATTTATGAAAAAATATATGCTTTGAAAATGAAGACAGAAAATATGCTTTTAACTGGTAATGTTAAGAGTTATGCTTGACACCACACCCAGTTTAGCGGGAAGAATTAAAGTCAGAAATGATCAGTTTGGAGAGGAGCCATCAACTTCCTGTCAGAGCAGCTGCCTCAGATAACAGTATGTGTGCATCTGTGGAGCCTCGCCCACATGTCCAGCCTGCAGATACCTGAGAAGAGGGAGGCGAGTGACAGGGAGAGACCGTTCTGAGACACCGCCAGCAGGGACTGACCCTCACAGCCATCTGAGAGACAGAAACTAACACTCAGCACAACCATCACCACAGGCACCAACATTTCAACACTCCACTGAGACGCGTGTCAGTGACACAGGCAAACATGCTACAGCTTAGTACACTGCACCCATACTACACATATGGAAGTAATACAGCTCCAAGATACAACACACTTGTGTATGCACATACTGCGGTACTGAGAGGTGCAGACATAATGAATCATAAACACATACAGATATAAAACTCGGTACATTTAACACGCACAAAGAAAATCCCACATCCCACAAACGTTCAGATATTTCTATGTGTTGGTGTCTCAGAAACTGTAATCTGTTTCCTCAACTCAGAGGAGAATCTCCTCAGGAGATGTTTTGAAAATGACAGAGTAGAATATAGTAGAAGATTTCCAACACAAACACAACCCTTCAAACCTATTTATGACCATAATATTCCTAGATATTCCATCTTTATGAATGTAATGTTTGAATAAATAGCAACACTAATGAGAACATTTTACTGTAGACTATCATTCTGTGACCTTTGAAATCAGACTTCCATGTTTACAGTCCATGGTAAAGCCTCACATGCTAAGAGGGTGATATGAATACTGTATGATGATGAGGTTATGAATTATGAATGGAACACAAACATACTCATTCACACAGAAAGAAAATTATTTCATTGTGCATTTTGGATTTTAAAATTGAAATACATTTTTCCAAATAGTTTGCTTTTTATTGCCATTTTGCTTGAAAGGCTAACCTGGAAACCTCAAATTCTTTTTGAAACCACAATGGCTAATTGGGAACCTCCAAAAAAACTTGACTGACCAACAGTGTAAAACTAAATTCTATCACAAACTCATGGACCTATGGGAATGTAGCACAATAAACATTAGCTGTGTGTTATTTTCTGCATGCTCCCTCATTCCCTCTCTCTACCTCTTAGTTCACACTCCTCCACCTCCTCAGCTGAGCCTGAGTCTGACAGGCCCTGGTAGGAGTCCTGAGAGCTCCTCCTGGAGCCTCCGCTGTCAGTGGAGTGAAAAACTGCAGGAGAGGAAGATAAAACAAGAACAAACATAAAGAATCAGAGTATAAGATGACTCAATATACAAGTTTAATTTATACCATGATGCCATTGAGGCTGATTTGTTGAGCCAGAGGGAAATATTTGAGATATTGTGAAGTTTTTGTGTAAAGCTGCAGTCGATTTGGAAAAATATGAAGGATGTTTCATATTGATTAGATTCTAATCTAAACCTGAATAACATCAAATATAAACTAAGACCCTGAGTTTTGTGAAGGAAACCTTGCACCTGTACAGATGACTATGTGTTTGATCTAATTGCATCCCAATACTTATTATTCTTACTGTGCTGGGAGGTTGTGGAGGGCGGCAGGCGGCTGCGGCGGATCAGTTGCCTGCGTAGGCGGATCTTCTGCTTGAGCTGCTGAATCTCACAGTCACTGTCCCCCTCCTCCTCCCCCTCCTCCTCCTGACGCCGCATATTGCACTTCATCAGCTCGATTGCTGCAATAAGGGACTCTGAAATGCTGAAATGAGCGTTTTCCTGAAGAGAAAGACAGTGAAAATTAGAAATCAGGTAAGGGAGAAGAATGACTTCATTGTTTTAACCCCCGTTTCTCTCAGTTACCCACATGAATTGCAGAAATGAAGTATTGAATTGTTTAAATAATTCTAATTCTCCATTCACCAATTCACCAAATTAAAAGTGTATATAACAGAGTTTGATAAACACCAGATGTAATTAGTTATGAGCAATGTGTTTCAATGGACAACACTCTGACCTTTTCAAGGTCAGCACAGCTGCCGAAGTCCTGCTCTGACAGGTAGCTGATGAGGCTCTGGCCCTCAGATGGTTTCCTGAACATCCCATCTGGCACACTGCTGTACTGGGACCCATCTGAAGCATCAAAATGAGGCACAATTACATTTTGTATACAAGTGATTCAATGTTGGAATTTTAAGGTTATCTGTTTAAGCTTTCAAAATAAATATATAATATTACAACGATTTCATAACCTGTTTTTATCTAAATAATAAACTCACTATTGCACCAAGTCGGGGAATCTGAACTAGACATCGTGGCCAATAAAATATTTCACACCTAACTACCCTTCTATGAACTTCCTGCGCAGGGTCCAGAAACTCAAGTTAACAGACTAGCTGACACACTTACAGGAACAACAAACACAAGTTTGCAGTGGACTTTCTCACATCTTACTTAAACTTTAAAGAATCCCTGATTAAGACTATATTTTATCTTGTAAAATATGGTTTTCATGTGTGCATTTTTGTGACTACAATTTATGTTATTGTTACTTATGCAAACAGAATAACAGAAAAAACTCACAAGACTCCATGTAGAGGGAACTGGGATTGCTGGAATCACTGCACTGAGGAGAGAAGGGGCTGTAGTCCTTCATGCAGCAGTCGTCAGCAGGTGATTCTATGAGACAAACAGTTCATGTTAACAGTCTGTTATTGAAATTCCAGAGTAGCTGAAATCCATAATGAATTCTTAAAAATTGATGGGAATGCACAACATCATTCATACACAAACTCTGATTTGATGCATCATTGTTTTTGTATCAAACAATCTATGGAAATGGTTCATTTCATTGCATGCAGAAACAAATAATGAATGTGACAGAGTGTTGACCCTTATCAGTATAATGTGGGTCAGTCAGTTTAATCTAATTATAATGACAGTTAACTACTATACTTTATGATGGTATTTTTCTTAAAGAAAGGGTATAAAATATACTTTTTACATAATTTTTTTCGATGCCAGAACTAAAGTTAGGATGTTGACATACAGCATCTCTTATAACTTTGCTATTTTAACACACCATGATACTTTACTTAACAATGTAAAAGAACCTCAATGAGCAAAAGCACATATTATGAAGGTAAAGGTGAGACTGAAAATGAGAAAGGTGGAGAGACTTCATCAACATGCAGAGAAAAAAAAATGGGATGGGGAGAGGGGTCAAGTGATGGAGTACAGTTAACTGCACTGCCGACCTTCTACCGGATCCTCTATTATTATGGTGATTTTTCGGGGGCCCCCTCCTTTCGTACAAAAAGTAGAAAAAGACACGAAAAAGAGATAGAGCAGAAGGAGAGAACATTACCTCAAGCCAATAGAGGGAAACAGTGAGCAAAGAGTGGAGACGTTAATACAGAAATATTTAAAACATTCAGACAGGAAGTGTGCATCTTCTGAGATAGAATGTGGCCCGACCACATTACTGACTACATCTATGTTTCAGTTTCATTTTATAAAGACAATGTGCAAAAAAGGAGATGTGTTTTTATCATCTTCAAAAAGATGACTACTCAATCAAAAGAAGTTTAAACCTTCCTTGTGTTTTTTAATATTAATAATCATACTTTCTCATAAATACAACATATCTTACACACTCACTGTTAGAGGTTATCCTGACCTACTGTCAAATGAGGTTACTTCGAGTTAACTCACCATTCCTGAGTTTCTGATTGACCCCTGTGTCTGAGAACGAACGGGTGTGTCCTCGGGACCCGCGGCCAGGCCCCCTCTGGAGCTCCGAAAAAGACGAGCGCCGAGGTGGGGGCGGGGCCTTGGAACTTCGCTCCATGGAATGCTCCAGGGTCCCGCCCTGCTCGCTACTGTGGGTGGAGCTTTGGGAGTCACGGCGACTGCGTTGCCCCAGGTTACCGATAGCCAGGTACTCTGGCCCGTCATCATAGTCGCCATCACCAGAGTCCCCAGCTTCAGGTTGGAGATGGGTGGGCGTCGGGGACTCCATTAGTGTTATGCCTCGCTCGCTCTCCCCTGGCCTGGACACACACACCCAGGGAGGTCCAGCGCTGCTTGCAGGAGAGGTAGTGTCTGCAACACAACATAAACATGAGGTGAGGCGTGTTGAGAAGGAGGATTTTGCAAACAAAATTTGTGATTACAGGTCATATGTGTAATGCAAATTTGTTTCAAACTAGGTTATCCACATTGCAATTTTATATTGTTATTTTCTGCACACAATATTTTTCTGTCTGTACTGGAAGAAGTAATTCTACTTTTTTCCTATTTTTCCTCAGTTAAATTGGATTTTCTATTGGGATCTGTGAATAAAAGTGATGTAAATGCAAAAAAGTAAAAAATGATCCTAAAACATTTATCCATTTTAGTGAGCTGGTTCAGGACATAGAGTTTAGGAGGCTTGATCAACACATTCTTCAGTATCTGACGAGGCCCAAAGACAATCAGGCCTCTGTACAGTGAAGTCAGTCTATTCTCAACAAACTGTAGTGCATTCATAGTGCCATCCCCTTATCCCATCTCCTCTCTCCCTGCATATACTGATTGAAGAGCGGTGACAACTTTCCCTTCATTTGATTAACATAGAGATTAACATACATAAATAAAGGTAAATAAAGGAGAATTTAACAGAGAAGAGCACCTCTTAGCTGTCTGCATAGGTTGGTTGGGCATTAAAAGATGAGTGGTACGAATCTTTAAGTAAAACAGATTAAAAAACTTAACATGCTCTCCTCACTTGTGCTGTTGATGTTTTGGGACTGGACTCCTGTAGAGGTTCCAGATTTGTGGCTGGTAAAGACTGCTTCGCGCAAAGAGCAGTTGGAGGTGGTAAGTCTGCGGTTTAGAGTTTCTACTCTAGGCACTGCGTCATGGTTTCTCCAGGCCCCACCAGCCCCTGGCAATACACACAGACTCTGGCTCTTCAACAGACCCAGACATGGTGGGACCTTCAGAGGTGACAGCTGGAGGATGAAAAGGAAGGGTATTAATAAATACAAATACATGTGTCAGTTCTTCTTCACCACCATTATTACCAAACAACGTATAATAAATAAAACAAATAGATAACGGATAAACGGCAAAATAACAAGTTACAGACATTATTGAGACATGGCTCAAGCATTTAAGTAATTTCATCAGACGCACCCCAACTGTATCTACTTGGGCCAGCAGTTTGGGATTGTTCTGTTCCACAGCTTCCAGACACTGAAACATGGCTGTCACGTGAGGCTCGCTCAGCAGAAACGCAGCATCTGAAAGATAAGAGATACAATAAGAGGACAAGAGACATAGACAGAGAAAACAGGGTGAACAAAAAAATAGTACGGCACAATTGAAGGAAATAAAGAGAAACTGAAATAGAACAAAAGTTTTTTATAGAAGGACAGGGACAGACAAAAAGGAAATTCGGGGAACTGAAAGTGATTTTCGACATTTCTTACTTTAGTTTACACTATGCAATAATGTCTCTTATATTAAAATGAAACCACTCACCATTATAATATTTACGTGTATGTCCCAGATGCCTGAGCAGAGGTCGGAGCTGAGCTGACAGCATGTGAACCTGTAAGCTGTGAAGCAGCCAGCGCTCGGCCTTGTAGCTTTCACCAGTGCTATGCATCCCGCTGCTCAGCACTGGTTCCAGCTTACTGAACTGAGGACAGAGAGAGAGGGAAAAAGAGAAAAAGAAAGAAATGTGAAGTAGGTTTGTGAGGGAACAGTAGACAGGGAAAGAAGCTTACAGTGGTAAACATGCTTTTCATTTGAGTATAAAGAAGAATTCTAATAGTTTTAGGCAACACTGAAATTAGCATTATCTAACCATTTGTCTGTGCTTGTCTTCACTGTTTGTTATAAATAAAACAGCAGAGCATCATGGGATCTTCTTCACTGGAGTTTCTGTGGTTGACTTTTATGTTGGTGGCAAAACAAACCAAATCATCTTCTGTTTACTCTAAATATACTGATGTTTATAAGCAACACAACGGGCAATCCAGGAAGTGTAGTGACTTTGCTATGTCGTGGTATAACACTGAACATAATAACTTTAAAAAAGTAGGAACTAGGGTTTTTCCATCAACAAACAGGTTCTGAAAATTAGCACCGTACATTCACTGTCTAAAAGGGAAAGTAAAACTAGTTTATCAGAAAAAAAACACCATTACCATTTACTCCCTCTGAATTAGAGTGAGTACAAACTGTAGTATTTTTCAGGAAACATAGAACCTGAGCACATTCACAACCTGTAAACTCTAGTTTTGCAATGTTTAGGCCAGTGACCAGAGATAAGTATTCAAAATAATTCTTAAGTATTTATGTGCCGCCCTGCCTGAGGCCGTCGGTGACCATACCTGTTCAACGTGTGAGGCAAGGTGAGGGCTGATGTAGCGGACACACCACACAAACGGCCAGTAGTCTCTCTGCTTGTAATAAACCTGCAACACAAAACAGGTGTTCACATGACGCTGACTGAGAAAAGCATCTTTAATAAACACAATGAGTCATAACGGAGGGGGAGAGCATCACATGTTTCAGTCCATGATTATAACTAAAATGTTAAAGCTTGTGAAAAAGACTACATTTCTACAAATGTGTGGGAAAGTAAGAAACTTGTGTGGGAAAGTAAGAAACTTTACCAATTAAAGCTACAGTTCCTGATAATATCATTTAAAATAAAAAATGTTATTGTACATAATGTGGTTGTGGGGCACAGCTAGAACCAACATCCTCCATGTTCCATGTTCAGTCACAAAACATGTTGAGTGACCATCCAAATTCACAGGTTAAAGTTTCACAAATGCTAACTTTGACCTGTAAGTCTGCCAAAGCAAACCAGGTTCACTGCTGACGGTGATGAGTCATCTATTTTTCTTACAGATAGCACAAAACAAACAGTTACAAGAGAGATCAGTCAGATCTGCTGACCTGCTCATTCTTCAAGCTGTGACTGAGGATGTTGTTCATGTCCTTGTGGAGCCGCTGCAGGCCGCCATAGCGGGACCACACATTGGGGTTGTTAGTTGACACGAGACCCTCCACTGTGGTCTTCAGGCTGGACAGCAGCTTCCAGTGCTCCCTCCTGGTAGAACAGCAGGAAGGAGAAAGGAAGGAAGTTTAGGAATGAGGAAGTAGGCAAAGAAGCGCTGATGTCAGCAGCATTGTGGCTTGAATCATTATTCTCATCAACAAAAACACGAAATGAAAAAGTTCCAGCAATTGAGTTGCGAAATCCAAACTCTGCACTCAGTGACTAACAAGCAATGCTACACTTCAATAAATGTTGCCACATCTTTTCCTGCATTGATCCACACAATCCCTACAAGTAGAAGTGTGAAGTCCTGCACCAAGGTTATCTTTAATACAGATATGAATATCTGTTGATCAAAGAGTGTCAGATACAAAACTTCAAAGATCAGGTCTCATTCCCTCACACACTGTCAAGCTCTGGCTCATTTCCAAGAGTTCCTCTTTTTTCACCTGAGGTCAGCAAACAAACTGAAAGCTTTTCAAAATGAGTCACTTAACTGCAGCAATGGGACAGAAAATATGTCAGATAAAAGTCAGAGGGTACAGAAACTCTAGGGCGCATAACTTATCTTTCCATTAGTTGCCTTTATATTGGTCATGTGCTTAAAAAAATAAAGGTTATGAAACCCCTGAATGGAACATTCATGAACACCAGTCTATCTATAAGCAGCAGTGCTGAGCAGCAGCAGCATCACGAGTTCAGCTGCAGAGCTCACTGATCAAATCACATAATTTAGCATAAGACAGGGAGGCTGAATGTTAGAGATCATTCTCCACATCTGTAGGGTGTGTGTGTGTGTGTGTGTGTGTGTGTGTGTGTGTGTGTGTGTGTGTGTGTGTGTGTGTGTGTGTGCGTGCGTGCGTGCGCGCGCGGCATCAAGAAGTAAAATTCCACAAGCCACAGAAAGGTTGCTGAGGTTAAAGATTTACTTCACAACCGTTTTGTGTGTGTGTGTGTGTGTGTGTGTGTGTGTGTGTGTGTCAGTGAAATTTTTTTAAATGTATCTCACTTCTAATTGTTCAAATAAAGAGAATTAAAGTGCACTACCTTGCTCATCTAGTGGTGGAATACAAGTACTTACTTCAGTACTGTTCTTGAATAAAGATAAGAGGTACTTATTATTCTTCATTGAAAGCTTCTTTATTATTCTACTGCATCATATTCATCAGAATTACATTAATATTGTACTCAACAGACAACAAACTGATCCTATAAAACATTACACAATGGTAAAGATTGAATCACTTGCTGTAAACTTTAATCTGACAAATAAAAAATGATTAAAGTTAATGATGAGTTGTTAGCAGTTCCACCAAAGACCCATTTGATTGGTGACCATTTGGAGGGGAACCACTGGCAGCATCTGGATCAGCTACAACAGGAAGCTGTTCATGCAGCTATACAGTAGTTGCTTATGAATCAATCAGTTAATCTGATTTATTTATACATTATAATATGATGTATAATTTAATGTATTACAATATAGCCCTCGCACAGAACTTAATACAGAACTACATCAGTATTTCCCAAATTCCCTCATCCTCCATGAATTATAAATGTAGGCAGGTATTACTACAGTAAATACTATACACAGTATGTGCTGTAAATATAAATACACACTATATGTTCCCTGTTCAGAATGAATTGTCTCAACTTAAGCTCTTGTTACAGCACATCAGGTTCAAACATGGAGACTTGCAGTATTTACTCAACTCCTCCTGAACGTGTAGAAAGTAAACACTATATAAATGTATAATATCAACATATTATAAAACATGCACTTCAGTTTGTCTTTCCGTTAACAGAGCTTTAATACAGCCCGTCAGTCTCTACTGTAACTGATGTGAAGGAAATGTCTAGATTTTACTACATTTGACAGCTAGCTAGTTAGCTGTTAGCACAACCTAGTTGTGTTGTAGTTAACAGTTAACTTGGAGCTAGTCAGTGGCAGTCAATAACGATGTCAGCACTAACGCTAACAAAACTTCCATGACACATACGAGAGTCAAACACTCAATGTTTCTGACAGCTTGAAGCTGCACTGCTAATGCTGCTAACTTCAAGCTGTCAAACGTACCATGTCAGGTTAGCTTAGCCGAGCGTTGCTGCTAGCTTCATAACTCAAACATGCTGCTGAGTTAAAGCGAGCTGTCGCTTCAAGAGTCGTCTCTGGATGAACTAGTGAGAGGAGCCGTTTTAATTATGTTGTTATTAATACAACCACGGTCCCTGTTAGCTGTTAGCAGTTAGCTGTTAGCTGTTAGCAGTTAGCTGTTAGCAGTTAGCTGTCAGCTCACCTGCGCTCCTCCGCCTCTTCCTCCGCCGCGATCTCCATGTCCTCCGCGAGGAGCAGAGCTCCGTACAAGGCCGCCAGCTTCCCCGATATTTCCTCCTGCCAAGTGTGAAACGACGGAGTTTAATCGCAGAGGCAGGGCTGCTTGAGAGAATCAGCCGCACCTCCTGTCCTCCGCCACCATGTCCGCCCGCTCCGCCTGCTCCTCTGAAGCCGTGAATCAAAACAGCGGGTGGGCGGAGGTGACGTCCTTTAGTTACTTTAGTCAATGCTGCCACCTGCTGGTACAACCTGGAACACTAACTATGACTCCTGAGCCCGTGTGATCTCTGGTGCTGCAGTATCACATCCTCTGCAAAAATACTCTTACAAGTTAAAGTGCTGGATGGACTATCCTTATTTTGTAAATACACGCTGTATTTATTCTATTGTGTATATTTATTTCATGATTATTGTCCTGTTGACTTTTTAACAATTACATTTCTGTGGAGCTTCCCTGCCAGACCTTTCCACATGATTGTACTTGTGTAACCAGTGTAACAACAAACACCTCAAAGGTCTTGAACATACTGAATAATTTCACCTCTTTGAGCCTTGAAGTGCAAATTAAAACAAATTACTGTATGTGAGAACTTTGACTTTGGTGAAACTGCCAACAACTCATAGAAATTTGAAACAAGCATGTTGGGAACCATTGATTTAAACTTTATGACTGTATTGTGTTTTATCTATGTTAAAACTGAATCTGAAAAGTATACAGTGCAACCTGCAGTCAGATAAATAGCTGAGTGAAAGGTACAATATTCTATCTTCTAAAATATAGTGAATAGGAAGTATAAAGTATCACAAAATATAGATAAACAAGTACAAGTCCTTTAAAATTTGTCATTAAGTGCAGTACTTGGTTAAATATATTCAACAGCCTCATATCTCATAAAGACACAATTATTCCGATAACTTCACCTTGTCCTTACTAAACTTCTGTATAATCCAAGTTCTAAGTTCGGGACAATAAAGCACCTTACTATCGAGGAACGAAAAAATGTATATTGCAGTTCACAGATTCAGCACATTTTCCAGTGAATCCAACAAGAAACTCCTTATGGAAAAAAAGGCCAGTGAAAAAATGTCTGCTTTTGTCCAATCCAGTGAATATCAAGAATCTCCATGTCACAATCACAATTCTCTAATACATCCAGAAACATTGAAACAAAAGGATAACACATCGTAAACAGTGTCACAACATTTCTGAAACAATTTTTTATTATCGTACATTCTACAGAGAGCCATCGTCCCACTGTCACATCACACCCACATGATGGCGCCACAGTTTAGATCTTTGCATTAACTCCATGAACCCAAGAAGCCTGAATCAGTTCTTGGTGAGTCTGTCATCCTCAGTAACAAGCAGGCATGGCTGTGGGTGACTGAGTGGTGAGTAATTGTCCTTGCATCATAGGTGCAAACACATTCAAGCACAATGTAGTCAGTCCCTGCAACAGGCCTCCTCTGGGATTACATAACACTTCCTTCCCCTGTGTTGTGAGACACTTGGGAGATTGCACAATTTATCACGAGCTAAAACAAAATCTTTTCTTACTCTTCTTTGGTGATCTGGAGGAAATACAAAGGCCTGTGGGAATATGTTAATATAAATCTGATAATACCAGTGAAGTGTTTACAGAAGTGAAATCAGCAACATCACAAAGTGTTGGATTTAATTTGGATTCATGGTATTTATCACACATATTCCTATACAGTTTACAGTTGTGAATACACGTGTATCCTGGAATGAATATAGTTTAGAGTATTGTATATGACTTTTTACTTTGCTTTATTTAAACTGAATTATTGCGCAAGTTGCTGAGCTTTTCACTTAACACTCATTATAATGTTGAATCAGTGTTAATTTAAATATGACAACAAAAACTAGAACACTTCTTAAATTTAGTTTTCTTTCATTTCAATGTGCAATTCTAACACGACTGTCCTTTCTAATCAAAGATCTGGAGTGTAATGCACAATGTCCCTCAGACATGTGGTGGAGCAGAATTATAAGGTCGCATGAAGTGGATCGAACAGTGCTTGAAAAAAAAATATTTCCATCATTGCATAATTCACTGAATCAATTGTTCTGCTGAGCGTGTGTTATAATGTGTGTCCTGACTCCTGACACGTACGAAAAGAGGCTCGTGTGTCAGGAGTCAGGACACGTCGACACAAGCTGATGATCAAGTTATGAGAAGGGGGTTGAGTTAAGCTCCTGTCCGTCATCCGTGGATTTGCATGTACTGGAACTGTATTTGCTCACAGTGACGTAGGCAACACACCCCATCCTTACCACAGCTGTACAGGCCACGGTGACTCACAGCTGTAACCTGCCGCAGCATGAACACACATGATGAATGGAAAGTAGGTAATGAGGGTTTGTCACAGTGATGCAAAGTCTGGTTGATCCAGTTTTTAAAATTTGCAACAGGGTTCCTTTGTTTTTTTCTCTGTCACATTCATCCAAAGGAAACATAATTTATAATGTCATTCCGAATCTATCAAGTAGTGGCTCATCTTTCCAAAAGAGATATTTTTCATGTGGAGCATTATTTATCATCCCCTGGCACAAAGTGTCATGTTCAACCAGTAGAGAACATTTCCTAACAAGATGTCTGGCATGATGAAACAACTATTTGATAAAGTATCTGAGCCAAAACAAAAACAAAAATTAAATTAAGTCCATGTTTTCTGTGGACTTGAATAAGAGTTGATCAGATTACATGTAACTTTGTAAAAGTTCTAAGCGGGAAATTGAATTCACATGGCAGCACCTGTAAACAAAGAACCCAGCGCTCTGTGGAAACTGGTGTTTTCTCCAGCACAGTACAAATGAATGGAACATTACTGATGATGGATGTCTGCTGCGGGGCAAACAGAGACCCCTTCACCTCAAATTCTTCTCATGTGCTGTAAGTGAATGGATCAACAATCAAGTAACTTCCTGGTTATAGGAGCAAGTTTTAATTAGTGTTATACAAGTGCTGCAGGTTTTAAAGATAGACGCTTTTATAATGAAAGACAGTAAATGGACAGTAATTACATTTGCTGATATCCTCTTGGAAGATTCACTGTTTTGGAGTAGAGCAGTATTTCTTCTCTAACATGTTTGTGTCAACAGGCTGCTGTGATTCAAATGGACCAAAGGTGGAAATCAAAAAGGTCATGTTGTATTGATGCATTTTATTCTGGTCACAAATAGAAATTATTTAAAATTAGACCGATCGGACCGATATCAGATGCAGATACCTACGGAGCCTTGAATGCCCTGACAGGTTAGCATTTTTTAATGCGCACAAGATATTTAGATATTATCTCTGTACAAGAGCAGCAAGGATTTCATTATACGACATTCCAAGGTGAAAATAAAACTAGATTAACTGCGTTCTCTCTATCAAGATGGTTTTTTGGTTATGAAGTTGTATATATTTTTTGTAAATCAACTTGATATCTTGCACAAGATAAAAAAAATATCATCTTGGGACTTTTGGGCAACGGAGATACCAATATTAGAGAATATAAAATTATGTAGGGGAGTTGCTATAGTTTGCATACCTTCTTTCTTTGTTGAAAAGCGGACATGACATGCATAGCTTGATAAAGCTCATGGCAAACATTTTTTGAGTCTTTGTCAAACACAACACTGCGTCTATCAGCACCTGAGAGAGAAAAGAACAGAAACATTATACAGTCGGGGACACGGAGGACGCAATGTCCTGAGATGTCAGATTTGGGCCCGAAGAAGCAGAGGAGTGTTTGAAAAACAACATGTGGGGCTTATTATAAAGTGGCTAACTCAAGTCTGAGATATAAAGAGCTCACTCATGACTTCAAAATACACCACTGAGATATTAAGTAACGAACTGACTACAAGATTATTATTTTGACTTTGTTGTGTAATTCACCTCAACTGGCCTCAATGTTCACGTCAGCGCTGCTTTGAAAATAATGTTTCTGGAGCAGGAATAAAGTAAAAAAGAAAATGGCGTCTTTCCAGAAGATGACACAGTTTGATGTAACGGCCCCAAAGTGACCACGCTGACTGTTTTCACAAAATAAAGTCATCATAACAAACAATCAGTGTCGTGTCGTTTTGAGGAATTCTCAATGTACACAACCAAGACTGTAGGGTGTTAAGATAAGGTGGCACGGTGGACAGTGGTGAGCAGCGTGGTCCTGGATCCAGATTGTAGGTTTGATCCCCAGTTTAATATCATATTTTGTAATTTTCCTCCTTCATTGTTCTAATTATAAGATTGATGTTTAGTGATGGTTTAAAACTATGAAAGTTTGCAGATAAATGAATCAAAAAATAGCATACATCTTTAAATAACACACAGCAGGATACAGATCAAACATAATAAAAATAAAAACGTAATTGTCTAAATGTAAGACTGAAGATGGGACATTGTCACAGTTGATTTGAAATAAATGTATATACTGTATCTTTATTTAACACTTTATATAACTGTACATTAAAACTAAATGAACAATGGCTGAATTTCATAATGGTGATCACTTTCAGGTCTTGGAATCGGTCAGTACAATGAATTAAAGTGTCTGCTGGGCATGTTTGTATATGTAACTATTGATTCTTTTCACTGTCCACATATTTATAGAAAAATATCCAGATTCAGAAATGATCTTTGACGAAGGTTCAGTATGTATCAGACCCGTGTCAGTAATTCTGCTATTAGTCACAAAAAGGGATGAGAGAAAATAAAAACTCATTAAGACAGTCTCTTAATAAAACAGTAATTTATTTCTGACTGAAAACTAAAATTGTCTGAACAGCACATTTCAAGGGCATCGTTAAGATACTGTATTTTCTCCAAGGCTCAGTGATCACGTTTATATAGTACACTTGGCATGTACACGGCATCTCCTTCAAAACAAAAGAAATACAGAAAAGAGAAAGAAATAAGCCCATTTTCAAAAAAAAAGAGGAAAAAGATTCCATCGAGTAGAAAGATGACTGATTGTACAATTACCAAGCGTTTTGGTTTGGTTCTAAGCCACAGAGAAAGAAACCTGATCGTCTGACGACAGCAGGCGATGGCAAAGGAGGCACAAAGACGTGGAAGCACAGACAGGACATCCCATAATATGCTCATACACAATCTACTGGGTTCCAGCTTTAAAGTGTGAAAAAGGTTTAATAGTTTCCATTGTTTTGTTTAGCGGACATTTGTTTTTTCCTTGTAAGCAAAGTGTTGGTACATTAAAAATCTAAACGCTGCATTCATTAAATACATTAAAATTTGCTTTGTAACAAAACCTTTTCTCTGCATATGAAAACAAAAGACAGCTTTTTCTGCCTAATGTTTTGTGCACAAGGACCTTCCATCCATCCCACACAAACACCTTTTCCATTCTTTATAATATATTTATATGTATATACTCTTACCCACTTGCTCCACCCTTTCTGCCCATTGCTCCCTTTCACAAACCCTCCGACGATCATTCACAGACTGACAATTTGACAGGAAAATAAAGAATGCTGGACAAAAACATGAGGTCAGAAAGTGGTCTGATTATAGATCATGCAGAACATGCAAAACAGCAACAAAGTATAGGGATGGAGAGAAAGTATAGAAAAAAAAAATACCAAAAACTAAATGTGCATTTATAAATGGGAAGGAAAAAAAAAAACAAACATACACAGCTTTGCGTCTTTGGTTATAAAGTAGGTCGAACAATTTTCACAGCTTTTCATCCCCCTAACCACAACCACAAATTCATTTTTTTTTCATTTTGACAAAGAAAGTCTAAAAAAAGTAAATTATTAGTTTCTTTATCGAAACAGCCCATCACATATTTCATATCTTAACAACATGGTGTTCTCCTGTACAAACCCTCCTCGCTCTTAATACTTTACACTTTACAAAATATACATTCAACCTGGATTTCACCTAATGCAAGCTCAGCCTTAGTGTTAGCACTATCTCGTGAGAAGAAACGTGTCTATCATGGAACTTATTGCCTACTTACTGAGATCTACTGCGAGACAAGCAAATTTAATACCTGACAGATTCTAAAATACCAAAAAGACCAAAGAGAAAGGTTTCTTTTTGCTTTTAATAAGTATCTCAATGACATTGTTCATTTACATTATGAAAATAGCAGCCCTGAAATAAATAAATGCAAATACTAAAACTGAACTAATTAAAAAGTATTACGATTCATGTCAAAAGTATGGTGGCTCTGAGAAAACAACATAAGCGTTTGTTGCAGCATATGACAAGCTGGGGGCGCTCGACTCGAGCGGGCCCCCTGGCATCCTGCTCCGCTCAGGGAGGACGAATCCTTCCCCCACCTCTCTGGCGTCTTCCAGCCCTGGAGTGATGTGAGGGAGAGACACTGGGCTAGATGTTATTACAGGACCCTCGTCACCACATTGGGCCCTTGCAGGGTCATCGTCCACTTCCATCACTTGTTACCCGAATAGATCGGGCTTGCTGTGCCCTTTGACCCCTCCCCCAGTCCCCTGCACAAGATCAGCATGCAGTTTTACGGTTTAGACTTGCTCCTCTTCCTTTTTTCTCTCTCCGCAGTCAAACACAGGACCAGAATAAGACTTTTCAATGGGTGGTAAATGTCTTAACAACGTGAAGGCCTGGTGACGGCAGCGTGCACACATCGAAGCATGGCTCTAGGTGACAAACAAACATGTCGCTGTTGTTGATTTTCCTCAGATGAAACATACTGAGCGCAGAGCCGAGCCTTTTGCTTTATGGAGCTAACGGGACGGTAGCAGTTGTTGTCTTTTTCTAACAGGATCTTCTGCTCCTGTCCGTGGGAGGTGTGTGTATTTTAAGCTTGTGTTCTGGGGGAAGGGGGATCACGCCGAGGTGATGTTGGGCTGATGCGGGACGCTCTGACTCCCCTCGTGGTGAACTAAGGGGGTGTTGTTGTTTGTGACGAGCGGGTGTTGCTGCAGCGGCGGTGTGTTGCTGCCCTGGGTGAGCTGACCGGACAGCTGGCTGAGCTGATCCGAGTTGGCCAGCGACTTGAGCACGGCGTTTTCGCGTTCCAACACCGAGTTCCTCTCATATAGCTCCTTGATCTGCTCCTTCAACACCTCCACCTCCTCGCGAACAGCGTACATCAGGTGGCTCTTCACTAAATCCTGAGAGAAGACACAACAATGGAAACTTAAATTACCACACAAAGTGACACTCACGCGAAAAATGTCATCTCAGAGCTCAAAGTGATAATTGGTGACGTTTTTTGGGTGACATCTTTAGCGGCAGATGGCATGTGAGGATTTCAACAGCTGCATTTTAAAGAGGTCAATCGTGTGTGGGCAGCACTTGTGTCAGCGTGGTTTGAGACTGTTGTGTCACTGAGCGTCAGCAAAGACAGTTATGAAATGAGTCATTGTACAGGCCTGCAGAGAATGTTGGTCAGCTGACCATGTTTGCTGTAATGAGTGGAAAACTCACCATTGCCTGCTCAATCTTGTTATCGATGGCAACAACGCTGGCACCGGATGCACTGTGGAGAGAGAGAGGGAGCAAAAAGTTACTTCAGGATATCAGCCTCATGTCTACCACGCGCTATGGACTGATATCGGCTTGGTTACATTCACCAACAGTCAAATCTACTCCTTTAAGTGTGAAACACATCCTCAGACATTGATCCCTGGGTTCTTTTCTCACACATCTTTTTCCAGGGAAGGAGATGAACTGATTTGCAATAAAAAGCTTTTCCAACACGCACCAAAAATAAAAACAATTTATTTTTAGTGATCTTAAGAAAGTGTCACACAGGAACACTTTCGAAACCTGCAAAGGGCCAGTGTTTGTTGTTAAAGGCAAAGTGGGATATTAGAGACATGGCGCCGACCGTAAAAACCAGTCAGACTGGGCTAAATCACCATACATGTCATTTCCCCATCCAATAGAGGTGAGAGGGGGAAACTGCCTCATGCTAAACACTCCCCTCAGCACAGGATCTCACTTCCCTCCATTACAGCATTGTTTACTTTCCAAACACACAAAAAAAGTTACAGATAAAATTGGATGTCAAAATAGTGGAGGTACGACTGAGCTTCATCAGACACTAAACACTCCCATTGCCATCTCATCACTTAGCTCCCCTCTCCGAGAAGGAAAGGAAACTTCACATGGCATCTTCCAACAGAAATAAAGCACGTGTCCAAGTCTGAATGAGAATAAAGTCCAGGCTCTGTCATGTTCGATCACATGAATATAAACAGACAAGTACTATAAAGTGTCGCTTTATTTTATGCTTAAACAAATAACCAAGTCAAATGCACAACGACGAGGGGCGATGATAGCAAAGCTCCTGCACATTGTTTAAATTCCGACATGTCAGCAGGTCGTGGTCATTATCATTTATTCTCAGTTCTGTATCTTCAGGACTCTGCTGCAGAGAAGGCGGATCACAGATCATGGAAGGAGGAAGACTTCACTCCTGCAGGAGCTGCGATCCGGGCGCGGCTAGGATCGGTTTACACGATCAGATGCATCTCATCGTCTCAGCCTCCGTTCTCTCGTTTAAAAAGACATTAAACCGTGTTCTCGGGGGGATAACACATCTTCTGCTGCTTCTTTGTGAATCCAGCTTTGTCAAAACTGTTTTTCAAAAGCACTCCAGAGCAGCGCAACATCTTGTTTTCCGACCTCTTTTCTCCTCCGCGGGGAGAAACAGGACAAAAACGCATTACAGTTCAACCCACAAAAGACGATTCACTTACTCGGCCTCGATACAGATCCTCAAACAACACGACGCCGGTAAATGTTGGAGTTTACTTCACGGAGAGAAAAGATATAAAAACACCAAACTGGAGCTTTTATCGTCTTCTCCACAAAACAAGCGTCTCTCCTTCGCGCTCAATCACCGCCCAGCTCGGATGTGGATGAAGAAACAAAAAAAAAAACAAAAAAAAGAAGGACCGAGTCGTTTTGGTGCCGCTAGAAGGTGCTCTGACATCCAGGAGAGGGACCATGGTGTCCAGATGCACTATTGTCATGTTTCGACTCAGGCTGAGGCCACATGGTGAAAGTGCAGCGAGAACTACACATGCAAAGAAAGGTGAAGTGAAGAACTGAACACATCTGAGCCCTCATAACTTTGTTTACATGACATGCGTGCGTCAACTTTATTCCGTGTGCGTAAAAATGAAGCGTCAACTTGGAAACTGCAGAGGGGAATCAAACATGCACTGAAACTCATTGTGGAATCGTGTAAATACCATGAACATGCATTCAAAGGTTTGTTGACTTTAAGGTAAGCGTTGTGCGCAACCACAGGATCATGTGGTGCTCCAGTGCTATATCCAGGACGTTACATCCTTCATGCCGGAGCGCACGTAGGCAACAAGTCGCGGTTGTGGGGGACAAACACAAAACCAAACATGATGCCACTAGTGGTGGACAGCACGCTGACCACATAGGACAATGGGTGAAACAGCGGATTGGAACGCTCTCTAAACACTGATGCAGAGACTGAGGCTAAATGGCAACTTTACATCCACAGCAATGAGTTGATATGAGAGTATACAAGAGGCAGAACGGCAGCAAACCCACAGGCTGATAATCACACTGACCACATGGAGGTAAACTCATCCCAAAGTAAAACACTACGCGTGTTAGACACTTCTTTACCTGGCGCATCTCGCTCTGTACGGCACCAAACGCCCCGAGTACGTCGGTGATGTTCCCGGCGAGCAGGGCAGACTGTAGCTCATTCTGCAGCGCATGTCAGAGCCGTTCGTTCTCCGAAGCCTCTGCAAACTTAAACACGATTTACACTGAGTCCTCTGTGCGTGTGTTGCGACACGAGTGTCTCCTGTTTGACTCGCAGCTGGGTTGAGTCTTAAAAGCACGCTAGGTCACATGGTTGGAAAACAAGGAGGCGGAGTTGAGTCTGTTCTCCCTCCTCCCTGCACTTCATTCACTCCTGAACGAGTTTCATTACTCTCTACAGCCCCTGTGCCAAAACACCTCCCCCCCCCCACTCCACAGGCACAGGACGACTTATTCCAGAGATAAAGGTATAATTAAAGAAGAGGTGATGCTTTTGTTTTGGTTTTTTTAATGTAGGGACAAACCAAGAGGTCTTGATACTCTTGTTCTTTTCTGTTGGCATAACAATGTCAAACTCTAGGTCTTGGCTTTATTCATTGTTTCAAAGGTGATCTTCGCACCATTTTCGCAATGTTTATGAACATGTCAAGCTGCTTTCAGCCGTGCACCAAACCATGAAATTCTCCAGAAATTCTCCAGAGAGCACAAACGTCTTAGTCAGTTGTTCCTGGCTTCTTTACTTTCTCTTCCTGAAAGCCTCTTAGTAAAAACTCAGTGTGCCTATGTGAGATGACAGCGGGAAATTACAGACAGAGGTGCATGTATAAGACGCAGAAGAAGATGACTGGAGGTTTCTTGTTGTGGTGAACGCATCTGACCCGGACAAGCTCCTGCTGCGTTCAGATCACATCCAGACAATATGGGTTGGAATACTTTTTGTAGAGTTCATGTCTGAAAACAGCTTCAGTGTTCTTAATGTGATTATTCAAGAACAGAAGAGTTGAGGAAAATGTCAAATCGACTGGTTAAATTGAAGGGTGACGAATGCGGAGGCTCTTTTTACCTCATGGACTGTATATTATCTACACAAAGTCAGAGAAAAATGAGAATACTGTTGTGTTTTCATTGGTCCCATTGACTTAAATCTGTGCACTGAAACGTCATTGCATGTCACACTAAATCCCCTGGGTGAATTCATGTGCTTTGCAAGTAAGTAATCAGATTTGCACGTTCCACATTTCCTCAGTCTTCCGCTTATCTTTCTTTCCTGTGGCAACACAAACAGCGAAACACGTGAGACAAAGTAAGACTTAATGAAAAAAATTCCACTTGCTTTTCTCTCCTCATTTGCATTCCCGTGAAACTACAGCCTGAGAAAACATTTGAACAGCAGTTTAGAGATGATGAACAGTATGACAGATCTAGCGCATTGACTGCAGGGGTAAATGAGTTGCATTCCACAGTATGGGTCTTGCTCTGTCGTGTGATGTGTTGGCTGAACAACATGAGGTGAGGGCGTTCCTCCCTTTTTGAACTGAGCATTTACACATCTGGGAGAAAAAGAGAGGAGAATGTTTACAAGCTGAGGCTGGAATGTGTTTCTATGAATAATAAAAAAACAAGAGACATGCAGGTTACATCAAATTCATGTCATCGAGTGACTGCGAGATCTAGCCTGAAGGACACAGAAGAGATGTTAGACGAAATGTAAGTGGACTCATTTGTTGCCATTCACTGTCCAAGCAAAACAAGACAAACTGTACATTTTATACAAAGAGGAAGACATGTGGAGGTTTATATAAGGGCCTCTCGCTGTGTTAACCTCAACATGGGCCTTCCCCGCAGACTGCAGCAGCACGACCCCCCACAACAAAGTCTGCAGGACCACAAGGCAGCACATTCCAGATTGGGACACCTCCGGCTCAGAGGCCAGCGCCTCCAGACCCAGACATCTGTGTCAGAGCCTCCATCGTGCTGGGACAGCACACAGTCAAGCTGCTCAGAGAGGACTGGTTATCAAAACAGACCTGTAACCTCAAGGTGTTTGGTTTGATACCAGCTACGGCTATTTCCATCATCAGCATGTGTCCTGTTTGACACAGAGCTCCGACCTGCTCACACACCGCAACACCGATCAGCCACAACATCAGTAACTGTTTTTTCTGTTTTTGATCAGCACACATTATTGATTCTGACATTTTGGGTGGACCCGTTTCATACAAGACACGTGCACGAGTTAAGTGAGCTCGCATCTCCCCGAGTCTGTCACATGATGTTTCACAGTGCCAGAAATCCAATGTGGCACACGTCCCCGACCCAAAGCACGCAAACACTCACCGTGGGGGGAGGCAGCTGGATAAATTAGACCACAGTGATAACCACCCTCCTCCTCTGCTAGTGCATTTCTAAACAATAGGTGGAGGGTGGGCTGTAACAACAGAGGGAGTCTGCTTACTCATTGACGACTCACTGTTGTCCTCTTTCAAACTGCTTTAGTGCAGCTCTCATTGTTTGTCCTAAAAGGTGGAGTTCAGCTGCTGCACCAGAAGAGGTCGCCAGAACACTCAAGAGAGCAACTTCAGGCAGAAATCTTTCTTTATTGATCACAATGAGCTCAATGTTATGGCACATATCAGCTAATTTTATGACAACACTTGGCAAAATGTTTTTTAAAAAATTATCAAATTAGTGCCATTCATCAGGCAAAAATCCCTCCAATGTGCCACCATATACATATTAAGATTTACAGTACATCTAACAAGGGAAACTTTAAATACAGAGCTCTAATGCTACAAGTAAGCATTGAGAGGGTTTCATTATAAGACTTAAAATACTTCTTATGACGCACTTAAACCAAATAAATATAAAAAGCAATGCTCAGGGTTGTCCAACACTACAGAGAGGAAGAATATATAGGACATGTAACCATGTTGGTCCTAATAT